AGAAAGTATTTTTGCATTGAGGGAGTACTTGAGTGGAGGCCCAATGTCCTTCTGCTACCTTAATACTAAACCTATAAATATATGCACATAGATTTCCCCATTCTCATATAAATATATTTGAATATGTACATGTCTTTATCTAGACCTCTATAAATGCCCTTGAACAAATATTTTAATGCCATTGTAAAAATCCAGGCTAGAAGTGATAGTGGCTTGGGTTAGGGTGGGCACTGGTGTCAGAAGGGATAAAGCCTATAGGATTTGCTGATGGATTAGATACAAAACCAATACTAAACCCATTGCCATCAATTTTGACTCATGGTGACCTAAGGAATCTGAAATAGAAGAGTCAGAGCCTCTCCTCTTTGGGGGCGTGGGTGCTATACAACTGGAAGAATGGACTTGTCACTAGGTGATATGGGTAAGACTGAGGGGATTATTACTGATTGGGAGGAGGGATCGTGGTCCAGTGTTGGACACGCAGTTTGATATGCCTTTATGTGATTCAAGTGATACTGGGTAGGCATTTGGACATATGAATCTGGGATGCAGGGAAAGACGTCTCGGTTGGATATAAAATTAAGAAGTCATCAGCACAGATATTATATTTTGATGGTAACGTATTTTAAGAAGGGCAAAGTAAAGTATACTTGAGGGGTTAAATAAGATGTAGATTGGGATTCACCCACTAGATGTGGCCATGCAATCGAAGGTCATTGAATGAGAGCATTTCAAGGATAGGGTGGATGGGGGAAGGAGAACCCAGATTGTACCCTGAGGTTGGTCAACATTAATGAGTACAAAAGAAGTGAGCCAAAAGGGTAGAGTTTAGATGAAAAATACCAACAGAGGGGTTAAAAGGCTGTGTCTTTTGAGCATATAACTGACTACTGCCTTATGCAAGAATCACGATAAAATAATTTTGAACAAAAGAAACCTGTAGTGGCCAGAAAGGAGTTTAACAAGTAGAGAGGGGGTGACATCAAGCAACAGAGGAGCAAGCAGGGGAATATTTGCATCTAAGTGAGTAGTTCTGTGCTGGAGTAGTTTTTCTTTGTGTTTGCTTTTCATTTATATCCTTTAATTCCAGGTACAATGAGAGCTAGTAGCTCCCAGAAGCAATTAGGCCATGATTCTTGGAAGAAATATAAGGACAAAATGTGTGTCATGTGTTCCCGGGGACAGAATATGGTAACTAGAAAGCAATAGCAATATTGGATGTATCTTACTGAGGCTTGTTTTTCTGTATTTTGTTCTTTTTAGGATAAAATTCTGCCCGATCTGTCTTGTCTTTTTGCATTACTGCTAGCTGACAGGAACTGGCTGGTAGAACAACACTCGCTGGAGGCATTTACTCAGTTTGCTGAGGTAAATTTTAGGACCAAATCCATGAGGATTCCGAAAACATTGAGCTGCTGGTCTGTTATTTGTAGAATTTATTAGCTGGGGAGAACGTGGCTATTGTTAGGTACCCTCAAGCCATTTTCAACTCAGGGGAGTCCAGGTGACAGATTTTACCCCATGAGAGTTTTCTAGGCTGTTGTCTTTGAGAGCAGCTCTCCAGGCCGGTCTCCCACAGAGCAGCGGGGACTACACCAGCCTCTACATTAGCAGCCCAGTGCTCTTCGAACCACTGGGCTACGTGACTAATCGTGCTTTAAGAGAAACAGTTGAAATGACTGCCAAGGTCCTCTGGTTAGCAAGGGCTGGAATAGGTTTTCAACCCAGGTCCAGTATCACTGGCTGTTTTCCAGACAGCGCTTCTAACTTGAGTGATAACACGTTTTCTCTTGAATTTGTTATGTAGCCTGTTGGTTCTGCAGAGAAGGTACATCTGGCATGGGTTTCCCCTGCAGTCTTACTCCTAGTTTTGCAGCCATGCCAGTGCACATGAGCGCTCTAGAGGAATTAGTATGGCTGACTTAACATAATTAAACTTCATACCCTGGACTTGTACAGGAGCTAATATTGTATACTTATAAAGTACCCTGAAAACCACAATTTGATCTTTTTGATATTGATCCCTCCGGCACTATATACTTTTCTTTAAAATGCTTTTTGATTAAGATAGCTCTTAAACCTACATTTGCCTTTGCAAACTGTTGAAATGTATCAAAATTAGTCTTCTTGACCTTTTAACAGGGAACCAATCATGAAGAGATAGTTCCACAGTGCCTCAGTTCTGAAGAAACTAAGAACAAAGTGGTATCCTTTCTGGAAAAGGTATTTATTTCTAATCAAGTAGTACTGCCTCATGTTTTTGTCTTTATTAGATTTTTTTCCCTTAGAAATTGTTTGTGACCAACTGGAATATGTTTTAAACTCTTCACTGTGGTACCACCCAGTGTTGTCAGTGATTATAGTGGTTCTCAACCTTCCTATTGCCACGACCCTTTAATACAGTTCCTCATGTTGTGACCCCTCAACCATAAAATTATTTTTGTTGTTACTTCTTCACTGTAATTTTGCTACTGTTATGAATTGGGTGACCCTTGTGAAAGGGTCATTTCACAGAACGGGGTTGAGTCCCACAGGTTGAGAACCCCTGGATTAGCCCATTTTAAATGTTGATATAGAACATGGGCTGCCAGTTGGGGTGTGCTTGCACTGCACCTTGGGGTGAGATGGCCAGCGTGGGGAAGCACTGCCCCCATCAACCCTAGCCATGACGGCTGCTCCTCTATCTGCAGAAGGGCAAATGTGATAGAACCATCTGCTTCTTGTCTCTCAGGTACATCACGCAGGGCTTTTTCTATAAATATTTTTAGTCTAAACTCTATTTTTCCAATATTGTTTTTTAAAAGTAGCCCCCCCCTCCCCTTTAATTGAAAACAAAATATTGAATAGCTCATCTCCCACATTTGTACATTGTTTGCAATGTATGGGCTATCATGTTAGGTAAGTTAAGAGTTCATGTGAAAAAAAAAAAGTTCATGTAAAAGTACTGACAGTACTGTTAAATCATGAATTTGGAACTCTGGGAGATGGTGAATTATGGTTAAGGGAACTTCATTTTTTTGTTTTTATAATATCCCTATTATTAAACTGGGCTATATTAAAAACAATGGACTGATTAAACCCAACCCATTCAAATGCATATAAATAAGGATATATTAAGTCTAGAAGGAGCCCTGGTTGTGTACTGGTTCTAGGAGAAAGGTGGGCTTTCTACTCCAGTTAAGAGTTACAGTCTTAGCACCTTATGGGTGCAGTTCCTGTAAACTGCCACTGACTTGATGGCAGTAAGCTTTTTATATACATTATATACATTACACATATAAGTTAGAGTATATGCATTTATTAATCTGTAAAATTAGCCAAAACAAATAAACCCCTTCGTTGCCAACTAGTCAATTATGAATCATAGAGAGACTATAAGGTTAGAGTTGACTACAAATCTTTATGGGAATGGAAAGGTTCATCTTTCTCCCTCAGAGCGGCTGGTGGTCTTTTGAACTGCTGACCTTGTGATTAATAGCCCAGCTGCACAACCCACTATACCACTGGGATTCCTATTAAAAGAGTAGCACATTGTCATGTTTCTCTCTAGTAAGAGGATTGTATAACTTTTCTGTAGGAGCAAAGCACTGCTGGGTGACATTTATCCAAATTACATCAATAAAACAGGAACAGTGTTTCTTAATAACAACCTCCAAAGTTACCAGTTGAGTCCAGCTAACTAACTTCCAGAGATTGCTTGATTCACAGTCTGAGGCAAAATGATTTATTATGCAGCACTTACACAAACTATTTGACCTTTTCATTTTGTGAACATCTGAAATCTAGAGAACAGTATTATTAATTCTGTTTACTTGTGGCAGACCGGGCTTGTAGCTGAAACAGAAGCTGCCAGAGTGGAGCGTGTGAAACAGGAGAGAGGTGTTTTCTGGGAGCCCTTTGTTAAAGGGACTATGGAAGAAGCAAGGTGGTCACCTTTAGAGGTAAGGGTTTCTTTGCAGCGTGGAGATTCAGCTTTTCTTACTTAGTGATAATGAAAATGGAAATTACTGTGGTCTGGCCTTCTGAGTGAATTTCTAAGAACTCAAAATAGACCTATGCATGTAGAACTTCTTGTCACTGCTCTTTTAAAATCACATTTCTTCTCTAAAGGTTATAAAATACATAGAGGTGGGGCTACTTTAAATACTAAATTATGAACATCATAGATCACATAATTGAAATAATTTGTTGTGACCTTTGGGAAAGTTCTAGTATCCCAGAGAGTGGTTTTGGAAACCTTCTAAATGGTTAAATGCTTTGCCTTATGTAGCATCTACCCTACTACCTAGTAAGATGCAGAAACTTTACGTAACTAAGGATATTCAAAATAATGTTCTGAATGCTACCAGTACTTTTAGAAATCGTAAGAGTTTTAATTACAATTCTTATATAAACATCAGTAACTTGTTTTTAAGACATGTAACTTTTAGACCTCAAATCTACAAAGCGAAACATTTATAGTCAGGCCAGACACCTTTTCTGTATGTTACAGACACTACTTGTGTGCTTTTTTGAGGTGGTTGGCAGAGGGTGTGTGGGCCAAAAACGCCTTCACAGTTTTCCACATGACCTGGAGGAGGTAGGAATGTCCTCTGGTGGGGAAGCAATGGATTGGAATATAAGTTTGTTCCGATAAGCTTTACTATAGTCCAGCCCTCTTACCATTTTAGAGTTGGTATTATACCTGTCACATGCCTCAATTTTGCAGCCTTGTGCAAAAAGAGCCCGTCGTGCGTTCCCATTAGAAGAAGAGTACAGGACAGCATTACAAAAAGCAACTGGGGCCTTGGAGGTGATTGAGGCACTACTCCAGAAGTGTCCTGCTCCGGACTGGCTGCCCGTGGAAATGGAGGCACTCCAAGAAAGGCTCACTGAGCTGACACGCTGTTTGCTCACGGGGAAAACATGAACGTATGGGTTTGGGATGCTTGTCAACCTATGGTATGTATATGATGTAAATGAAATACTGATGTAATTATGTCTGTACATTAACAAGCACATAAACAACTTTTGTAAAGTTGAATCTAGTGAAAATAGTCTTTATTTGACATTTAGAGAACAGGGTAGTTGGGAATATTCCTCTTTATGAACTTTGGTACAATGTAATAATGTACTACAAGTGGACCAATTAGATACTGCCCAGGTATCCACACAGGACCTACCTTTCACTCAGATAGTAGAACTGTAAACAAATAAATAAGCTGCCTAAGGAAATCTTAGTAGTTTAAAATTATATACTTTATAGTTAAATTTTTTTCAGTACATTTAATGGAGCTTACTATTCTGTTCAAATAAATGGCACAATATTAAGCTAACCAGCTTGAAATTTGATCTTTATTTTTACTTCCAGAATCATCCTGGAAAAAGCAGTAAATCCAGCCTTTCCACAGCCACTAGCGTCAGTCAACCGCACCCAGACTTCCTCCTAGAGACCAGTTTCTGAAGCCGCCTCCTGGAGGGCTTTTCAAAAGCCAGCACTTGAGGCCCTCTGCTTCAGTTGGCACACACAAGACAAAGCTCCTGGTATGGGGAAAACAGGCTGCTTCGGGTCTTTTTGTCCTCAGAGCCTGCTTTTGAGGTATTAATTTAATGGAAGAAAAAAATTTTCCCCCTAAAGTTTATTCATACCCGCTGTCACCAGTTATTATCTTCCCAGTTCAGCTCCCCTTCTTCACCCCAGCCGCCAGTCTCTCCCTGCAACAAAAAGCACACCAGACCAGCCCGCTGAAAATGAGAACACAAAGGGAAAAGGGGCCTAATCACTTGTCTTTGATGCCGAACTCAGTTCCCATACTAACTAGAAAGTAGCAAGGATTACTTTGGTTCCAATATTGCAAAACCAGATGGTAGGAAAACAAACTTTCAAGGATCACATAATTCAGTAAAATCAGTCTGATGAAACCATATTCTTGGCTAAACCTCCTTTCATCCAAATTAATAAGCTATTCATGTAACAAGTGGACCATCACCACTTAGCCCAAGGATCAACTACATTCTTCTGGGGAGGGAAAAATAACCATTTGTAAGAACTGATTTCATTTTATGCTTAACTTGATGATTTTAACCAATTTTTCCCTCATATGAAATGAAATGGCAACTGACAGCCCCCCCCTACCTCACCCCCCGACGTGTCATCCTTAAACTAGCAGCACAAAGATCCTCACCTCAGTAATTTCTGCTGCAGCAAACTTTGAGGAAAACGGCATCACTGGTGAGATATCATTCTTGTTGGGAACCATCATCTCGGCCCTCAGGTCAGGTAGAATAAGAAAAGCAGCTGAAGGCTTGATTTCTGGAATCATATCGGCAAACCAGTCCAACTCAGGATCTTGCACTGGTTTCTTTTTTACTTGAATGGTAAACTCTTCTCCTAAACCAAGTTCGGATGGAACCTTAAAGGGCCGTTCTTGTGTCGATGCTTTTGGTGGCTTCTGGTTTGCACCCTCCCTGCTCTGTATGAGGCTGGTCCTTGGGGATAGGCTTACTTTCACAGGACTACACTCTTCAGTGGGTGGAAGCAAAGTAGGAATGGGCTTTTGTTCCCCTGAGGTAACAGTTGTGGCTGGCAGTCCGCCTCTGAGGCTTATTTCCATTTCGAAGTTGCTGTGCTCAAAGTCATCCCAAGTCTCCTCCTTCACTGGGACTGGGGACTCTGCAGTATCATGTGGCTCCTGTGGCCACATCTGTATGTCGACAGTTTTATTGTCAGGCTCCTCAGGCTCGTTCCAATCAGGCCACTCTTCAGACTTTTGGGGATTTGATGGGGTGTTTTCACTGTCCTCTGAAGGATTTTTCACATCTGAGATCCCGTTCATGGCAAATTTAATAGGTTGAGAAAATGGATTGCCTATGGAATATGTGCAATAATTGTAAAATGTTGGTTAAGAGCAAGCAGTGTATTTGGAGAAAGGTTAAATATCAAGCTAAAGAAATAGAAATATCCATGCATACTTAAACTGGAGGAAAATAACCCAGAAGTGTGTAATCAGCATCAAAGATGCCAGGTAATAACCAACGCACTCAATTCTTTACTAATTACTCCAACTTAGTGTTTGCTGATTATTGTCTATAAAGCAAATATGAAACATGTTCTAAGCCAGACACTTTTCCCCCTCAAGATGTTCATTACCAGTACACTGCAAAAGTATTATGTATGCAAATATTTTCCTACCCCAACACATCCTAGTTTAAAAGAGGATTTCCTTAAGTGTAACTGTGGCATTCAGAAATCTTGTGCAATATACTCAAGAAGCTGATACCGACATTTCCCTACCCTTACCCACAGAACTCTTCACAACCAAAATGGAACAAACAAACAAAAAACAGCCATGAAAACCACTGGCTTCAAAGTGATTTCTGACCCTGTAGGACAGGATACAACTGCCCCTGTGAGTTTCTGAGACTGCGACTCTAATGCAGGAGTAGAAAGCTGACCTTGCAGTTAGTACCCCAACTTGTAACAACTATGCCACCAAGGCTCCTCTTTTCATGACAGACCTGTTAATATCATCCAGGATTACTGTGGCTTAGTATGAATTGAAAAATGTTGCACTGAAGTATCATAAGCTCCAAAGTAAAGTATCTGGTTTAAAAAGGGATTCAAGAACTGTCAACACTCTTCTCACCAGTTATGGGGAGAGTTGGTATGTACCCAACTATCCAGGGAAACATGAGCAAGCCCAGTGCTGACCATACAATTGTATCCAGGAAAACCTGCAAGAGCTGGAACCTGTCAGAGAAGGAAAATGGGAATATTTTCCACTAACAAATAAAAGTGGCATGTTGAAGGCAGAAAATTTGCAAGCCCCAGAAAAACAAGGCAGTCCCCAGAGTTCTTCCTCTCTCTCACAGGTTTAGATGTATGTATGATACAAAAAATATCAAACTACCCAAATGCCCTCAATTTTTAAATTATCACTCAAGAAAACATTCATGCAAGCAACAGAAAAGCCATACAAATGTTGTATTTCTACCTTTCTGTAAAAGGGTATTGTAGTAATCTTGCTGTATGAACGTCTTGCTGACGGGCATGTTGCCAGAAAAGAAACATTTAGGGAAAAGGCTAGAGGAAGGATTCTCCAAGACTGGCGCGATGTGACTGTGCTGGCTGCAGGCGACGTGCATGGGAGAATCTGAAGGTGAATAAAAACCCCAGAGTGAAGAGGACAGAAAGTATAGTGCTACATCACTATCACGTGGTGCATGAGAATGACTTTGGAAAATGGAAGTAGTTAACACAGATGAAAAAGCTGTAGAGAAGCTGATACCAAGGGCTCAAATAGAAAATGATGGCAACATATGTACCAATATACTTGATACAATTGATGTATGGATGGTTAAAAAGTTGTAGGAGCCCCTAATAAAATGATCTTTAAAAAAACAACCCAAAAAACAAACTGTAGAGAGCATCTTTCAAAATATGAAGAAACAACCTCCTTATGAAATGGACTGCCTGCTCTTAGCGGTGCTTAAGCCCAGGCTGAGTGCCCATGTGCTGGAACAGAGGGGACCCAAGCAGGCCGGAAAGGGTTGGATGAGACAGGTAACTTTTAGGATATCTAGCTGTGAAAGTTAGAGCTTTTAGCTGGCTCCCATTTTCATTCCCTTTAAGAATAAAGGTGTGAGAGGCCCAATCTCAGCAATGCCCCATGTCCTTCCGAAGAGGCTGTAGTAAGCTGTTATGTGGGCTGCACCCATGCCTCACCCGTCTCTTTCAGGAAGAACCACACTCAAGAGTCAGTGGGATTACATTTATAATCTCTTATAAATTGTCTTCAGAAAGCTAACCAAAAAATCTTCCACTGCTGCTGTGATGTGTGGTGCCTTTTGGGGTTTCTTATAACGATTATTGTGTAATTCAGGCAGATGTAAATGAGTATCTTCAGTATAGAATATTCCATCCAATAAATAAAGGAGGTTAGGTGCAGAAGCTTTTGTTAATTCTGCATGTAAAGGAACCCTGAATAAGCCCTAAGACTGACACTTCTCCCACCCATTTCCCACCCCCAAGAAAGTTCTGGTGTGTTTAAAGAGCTCTCATTTACTATTTGGTGCAATCTGCTAGGAGAATTAATAACAAACGGGTGTTTCCTGGCGGAAGCTGAGGTGAGAGCCTTTATCCTTTTCAAATTCCTCGGAACCGCACTTTTCATTAACACCATGAAAAAATTGGAACATTTTTCAAAACTCTAGGAAGCCAGTTATCTTAAAAATTCTCTGGGCACCAAAATTAGAAAAAAGCTATATAAAGCTTTATAAGAAATACAAGTTTTTCTTATAAAGCGTTCGTGCTCTCCCCTTAAAAAAACAAACAAGTTTTATTCAAATTACACAGCAAAATAAAGATGCAATGAGGTTAGTGGTACAGAATTCTTATTCCTTGCTTCTATAGCCTGTACCAAAAACAAAACTCACTGCTATTGATTCCACCTCACAGCAACACTATAGAACAGAGCAGAACTGCCCCATCATTTCCAAGGCTATAAATCTTTACAAAAGCCAACTGCCACATCTTTCTCCCATGGAGCTGGTGAGTTTGAACTGCCAACCTTTTGGTATTTTACCCAATGGGCCACCCGTGAGGGTTACTGATAGCCTATATGCCCACAATGCACACCCACTGCTAAATGAATTACATTCAATGACATATCAGGCAGCTATCAAAAGGTGAGCTAGATTTCTATGTACTGATGTATTGACAAGACTGATAAGTTACTACATGAAAACAAAAATATTTTCTTAAAACACAAAAATGAATGCTCTATATAAAGGGGCTTCAAAAGTTGATGAACTTTTTGGAATTAAAAAGATAATTTTTCCATTGATTTTTTTTGAAGCTTTCTTGCATGTACAAACATACATCTGTATTATATTTTGAGCTTAAAGAGAGAGAAAACTAGTGTAATTGTTCCTAGGGAGAGAGAGGATAGGAAAACTTTCCTTAATGCTTCTCATTTGACTGAATGTAGCCCACCTGCTATGACTTGTATAATTTGAAAAATCTAAAGTTTAAACAACACTTAAAAACTAGAGCTTTCAATCATTCTTACCTTCTGGGGAAAGGTCAGTAGTTTTAGTAAAACTTGGGGCAGTACGTTTGAAGATCTTTGTTCTTTCTCCTCCCACAACTACCTCTGGTCCAAGTAGAGAGACCAGCACTGCCAGGCTATGGAGAGTAATCACCACAATGGAATTGCTGGTATCCCGCAGGCCCAGTAATACCTAGAGGGGAATCAGATTGTAAGTAAGAGCCAACCGCATTCCCTATAATTTTCTCCCTCCGAAAAGTGTTTCTGAAGTGGATGACACCGCCCCCTGGAGGACGATGGAGTGATCCATCAGGCTTGCAAAAGCAGATACTTAAGATACTTACTTTATCCTGGATTATGGGCTAAAGCTAAATTTTTTTTTCCTGAAATGGGGATAACCTCAGTCCCTACCCCCACCCCCACCCTCCAGCAATTAAAAAATGTAGGCATCTGCTTTTGCACCCCCCACCCACACCCCCCAGTGGTACCGCCCACTCTCAGGAAACACTGCTCTCAACAAAGCAGTGGGCAGCATCACAATGTGCTTGCTCAGGTGAACTACTTTTTCTTAGCTTTAGGTCTCAGCTGACAACCTGAGCCCAGTCAACCAAGAGAATGAGAATAAAAAACTTGTTTTAAGATCTATGTTTTGGATGGGTTTATACAGCAGCAGATACTGAAATGTCTACTTTTGAGCTCTTGAAAATAGGAAGGGTGTTACACACTCTAGAACCCCAGCAGTAAGGAAGCACTAAACTAAGCATAAAACTAGTCTTTTAGGTTATTTTAAGATCCCATGTTAATTGACAAAATATTTTAAAACCTAGTAGTGACTTAGTGGTTATGCATTGGGCTGCGATCTTCAAGGTCAGCAATTCAAAACCACCAGCAGCTTCCAGGGAGAAAGATGAGGCTTTCTACTCCCACCGTCTCAGAAACCAATAGGGGCAGTTTTACTCTGTCCTATAGGGTCGCTATAAGTGAGAGTGAGTTTAAAACCTGGAGCCCTTGAGTGGGCAATTAATGTACTGGCTTCCTGGACAAGACTGCTAACTGAAAAGATTGGCCATTCAAACCCACCAGCAGCATTCTGCCAGAGAAAAGAAGTGGCAGTTTGTTTTTACAGAAGTTGTACCCTATGAAACCCTACAAAGCAGTTGTGCTCTGTCCTAAAGGGCCACTGTGGGTTGGAATTGACTCAATGGCAGTGGGTTGGTTGGGGGTTTGTTTTTTTCTCTCTCTCAATTTCTTTTTCTTTTTTTGGACAGATTTATTAGTAGATTTATCCCTAGGAAACACTCCCACAGTAGCCAGGACTGTGAAGTGTTTCCCAGTTTGCTCGGACTACAAAATTTTTATACTTGGCTGTTCTTTTTTTAAATTTTTAATCATTTTATTTGGGTTTTTTCTCTCTCAATTTCAGTTGAATTACATCATGCCATAAGCAAATACATTCTTGCAGATTAGGTTTCCAAAGTATTGCACCAGTGATTCTTGTTCACTACCCTCCAGAGATTAGCTAACAATTAGTTTCTCTGAGGTTAAGATCAAATATAAATACAGTGAGACCTCAGTTGTTGAACTCAATTCATTACGCATTCGTGTTGAAACATTGAAGTGTTTGAGAACAGAACATATTTTTCCCATAATAATTAACACCAAGTGATTGGTTCTGAGGCCCCTAAATTACCCTTATGAGTTCATTTTCCAGGACTTCAAATCATGGAGGCGGCTTTCAGCCTCACACATCGGTGTCCTGGATACACTATTGCCGTCCAGTTGTTTTGATTTCTCCAAACTCACAGCACTTTTCAACCTTTTAGAGCCTGGGTTCGTTTTGTGGTTAACAATTTCATACCTTTCGATACACTGGCCACTTTAATCAGTTTTTCCCCCTTAAAACTGATGATAACGTCAACTTAGCTATACTCAGTAGCCAAATCAGACAGGCTGATCTGATTCAAATGTTGCACTGACAAAACTATTGTGGTTTTCAGTTTTTCTCGTGGCTTTACTACTGCTATCACTGCCTTTCTTTCGGGACACTGTTACTCTAGTTTATGCAAATAAGGTCCCCTCCCCACCAAAAAAAGGCATGATGAATATTTTAACATACAAACATTATATGTTGTCTGAGCAAGAGTGGCACTTAGACTGAAGTGTCACTCCTTTGTGTCTGTAGCGAGATGCAACTAGTGACTTGCTCTTGTTTCATACATGATTTTTCAAATTGGATTTTCAATTTGACTATCCAGCAAAGTTATGAACACCAAGCAGATGTTTTTCAAACTTTGCTGCTGGAGTAGTGGAAGGTTCACGCTTAGAGCTGCTGAACAACTGAGGTGTCACTGTCATTCATTTCCTCGTGCAACTAAATGGAAACAGTTTGGATAGCAGCCCTTGGTATTCCAGCCGACTTTCAACTGACTGTGGCCTCAGGGCCTAAGCTCCTATCGGAATACTCCGAATCCTTCTGCTCAGCCTCCAGCATATCCTCTGCACCCCATCCTCATGCTTCCCTGGAGGGCCTGCCCCTGACCTGTGGCAAGACGACTTTCCTCAGCTGCTCCTGCGTGAAGTGCTCCACGTAAGCCTCAATGTGAGACAGCAGCACCATCCGCACGTGCTCCTCGTGAACCTCAAACAGCTGCAGAAGCACAGGGATCACCCGAGACTGGAACAGTGCCAGCGACAGCAAGCAGGGAGTTTCTCCCTGCACGGTATCTACCCAAAGAAATCACAGGTTACACATGAGGAAAGTGTCAGTTATGTCAGTGAAAGGAGCACTCAGACTAAGTCACACAGTCCAGAACGTTCCACAGCGAATCTTCTACATTCCTACTCCTCACACCAAGGACAGTCCTCTTGTTTTCCTGGAATTACTCAAGGCTTAATTATCTCATCAGTAACACTGTCTTGTGGAAATGATCTTCAAAGATCATTCAATGCACTGTAAAGTTTGTATTTTAATACACTTGACTCAATAACAAATGTTTAATCACACTAAGTAAGGACACTGATATTGTTAGAATTTTACTTTCAAAAACTGGGTGTTCACTGCTACAATGGGGCCTTGGTGCCGAGCAGTCCTTTCTGGTTATTAGTCTTTGGGGGATTAAAAAAAGACACACCCATATCCCCAAAGACATAACTCTGTCCCCAAAACTGTGGATCCAGTTTATTAGATGATTTGAGAAATCTCCCTGGGGAATTCTGAGACGCCTTTACCTAAGACTGACTGAGTGGAAGTGAGGTTACAGACAGAAGAAAACACAAGGCTGATGGGAACGGCATCCAAGAAGCCCAAGTAACATTCTATATTTTAAAACTTGCCTCTAGCACTGGTCGGGTGGACTGGGATCTAAGAAAATAATTTCCAACTGCAGTACTATACCACGCACCTTACACCTATAAACTCTACAGTAACATATTAACTTTGCATTTTCTGCAAGTTCCAAAGTACCAATCATTTCACATTCAGAAAAAAACTGCAGGCCTGGTAACTGAAACAATCTTGGTGCTTTACAATCTTTCCACTCACTGGAAAATTGGCTGACTGCTAGTGGGCTGTTGGGAGCACCCCATCCTAAATCATCTCCCCAAGTATGATGTATGTTTGTTCTTACACTCCACATGCATTTAATTTTCAAGTCCACATGTCATTATTATACATCTGATTCTCCAGGATGGTGTTCCATCTTTATCCGGTGACTATGCTATCAGTTTAAAGTCAATAATTATTCAGGAGCCAATCTTTATTTTCTAACCACGCCCTGGAGTAAATTCAATCTGCTTGAATATAGACTAATAATTGACAAACGAGTTAATTACAATAATACTTTGAAGAGAAAATTCACCTTTTTTGGGACCAAGCAGATAAGGAAGAAAACTCTTAACAGCTACTGGTTCTGCAAACACCAACTGATTAAGCAGAAGCGGTACCAGCCTTGAGGCTATTAATTCCTCTGACAAGCAGCTGACTCGATCCAGCAGAAATCTGAGGGCAGAGAAGGCAGGCTGGGGAAATTGCTCAGGTTTACACACTGTCTACTTCCACTTCTACCAATGTGATGCATTTTGAAATTAGGTTAAGGAACTAAACAGTTCTGCCTCAGGCATTCAAAAAAAGCACAGAAGGTGTGAGCCAAGGCTAATTTAGTTAACACACGAGGAGGTACCCCAAAAAATCTGGAATTGCACTGGGCGGAGCAGAGCTTTCTTAGTACCCGTTTTTCCCGATAAGTGAGCATCAACATCAGACAACTTGCTCTGCGTTAGTGCACCCAGGGGTGTCACCTGGGAAGGTTCTCTCTGGTCACAGTGAATTTTTTCATAAAAGCAGTTTCACTTGAACTTTGTTTTTTGTGATGGCTGATTTAAAAGAAGCAGCTGTGAAATTGTTTCCTACTTGGGGAAAATGCCACAGAAACTGTTGAAATGTTGAACACAGCTTACAAGGTCAGCACTATAGGGAAAACTCAAGTATGTGAGTGCTTTTCTCGTTTCAAAAAAGATGAAATGTCAATTGATGACAAATCTCGTTCTGGACATTCGTCAACTTTCTGAATGGATGAAAATGTCAACGCGTGCATTTGGAGTTCGTTCCACCAGGTTGACTATTAATCAAGCTTTCTATTTAGGGGTTCTGAAAAGATTGCTTAACAGTGTGTGACAGAAGAGGCCATATTTGTGGCAAACGGGGGACTGGTTTTGCCACCACGACAATGCATCTGCTCACGCAGTCATCTCAGTGTGTCAGCTTTGGGCAAAAAAACAGCATGCCTCTCTTGCCCCACACACCTTACTCACCTGACCTTGCTCCCTGTGACTTCTTGTTGTTTCCGCAAATGAAGAGGGACATGAAAGGACATGTAGAAGAGGGGAAGAAAAAAATGAGGGAGGTGCTTTCAGCCCTCCAAACAGGTGAGTTTGAAAAACGCTGCCAAGAATGAATGGAATCGCAGATTTGACAAATGTATTCAGTGTAATGGAGAGTATTTTGAAGGTGATAGGGTTGTTTGTTAAAAAATAAAAATAAAAATCTAATTACATGGCTTGGCGGGGCGGGGATTCCAGGTTTCATTTTGTATCCCTGATACATATAAGTAGGTTTCAAAAAGTTAATGGAAAATTCCATAATCTCTTCACTCCATTTTTCTACAAACTTTTTGAGTCCCCCTCTTGTAAAACCTCAATTTCAAGTTTGAAAATGTTTTAACAAACTGCTTTTTATTCATAGCAAATGGTTTTTTTCCCCTGTAATAAGACTTTCTCATCAATAAGTTATTTTCTCAAATATAAATGTGGTAGATTATTTTCTCTCTCTCTCTCTCTCTCACACACACACACACCCTTCTCACTTACTGACATGGTTAGGTTCCAAAAACTGGGTCCTTAGGCAATAATCAGGATTACGTAAAAATGGAAGCTGACTACATCAGATCACAAAAGAAGGGATAATGTCATTATATAATTACCAAATGACATCATTGCATAACTGCCAAACCATTGAGAATCATGATCCAGACAACCTGACACACACCTTAACCATCACAGCCTGCGTAATTTCCAATACTGCCAAATGTGCACTGTTAGATGCACAAAGTTGTCAGATTTCTTACTATTGTAGTAAATATGAGATGTCGTTAGAAGATAATCAACAAAGGAGGAGGAGGGTATAGTGAGGAAAGGAGGGTGTAGTGAGGCAAGGAGGGTGTCAGGATGTGCATCTATGTATAAGAGATCTTCTAAAAACTAGTGGGAAAAAGTTCATTTTTTAAGTTCTATTTTTCCATGAACTTTGTTACACCCCCTCAAGTATAACACATACATAAAATAAAAACTGTTCAGAACTAGATACATTAAAAAAACCAAACTCACTACCATTAAGTTGATGGCAACTCATGGTGACAGAGTTTTGTGCCAACCTGGCTGATAAATACATGTGGGGTTAATTGAAGGGTGGAGGGATAAATGGCTCAGTGAACCTCGCCTTTCTAGTTCTCGGGTCTCTTGCTCTCTGATGGTCGGACCAGGGTGCAGCTACCTTAGCCAGTTCCCTGCTTCAGCTGGGAAGGCTCACTTCCTGTGAGACATCCCTGAGAAGCTACATGGACCTACCCTGATTCAGCCCTGGGTGCTGGAGCAGTTGCGTAGACACCCCTGCCAGCGCTGAGATGCTTATTCGCTCACTGATTATGCTTTCCTCTTGCAGTCAGCATCATTGTGTGTTTTGTGAGATTGAGGAGGATTTTGTAGATTGGTGTATATGGGCTAATGTTGGACTTATGGGCTTGGACAGCACTGGGTTGGGATGCTTTCTTAATGTACACATACCCTTTATATAAAACTCTCACATACATGAGTTTCTGTGGATTTGTTTCTCCAGTCTGCCCAGACTAACACAGTGACCCTACAGGACAAGATAGAACTGGGTTTCCAAGACTAGCTCATTATGGGAGTAGAAAGATGTCTTTCTCCCATAAAGCAGCTAATGGTTTCAAACTGCTGATCTTGCAGTTAGCAGCCCAACTGATAACCACTATGATGCTACCAGGGCTCCCGAGGTACTAATTAGGACCACATCATGTGTTGTTCCTTTCAGGCCTACATCTGTATTCATTCCAACTTCCTTTCCAGCTCACTGTTCCAACATTCCTTCTCTTCTAGTATCAAACCCTCCCCGCCTACCCCATGTGAATGGAGACTTCGATTGTTCCCTCTACTCACTAAAACCTTTCCCTCCAGCCTCGGACATGCTCAGACTCTTATATCCTAGACTCTATTTTCTCCTGTAGTAATAATGCTTCTCACCTCTAAGTTGTGTGATCATGAGGTGTCGATGGGAAAGGTATCAGAAGTTCAAAAACAAGCAACCAAATTGATGTGAAGGAGTGGGGATGTAGTAGAGACCCAAAACCCACCTGTAGGAAAATTAAGACATTCTTTCTCAGAAGGGCCACATGGAAGGGATGATAAATCCAGGGTGTAGTAGAGCACTGATGAAACATTTAACTATCCTCTAGCTCTTTAATATTTCCTCCTCATACTATTAAGGTTTTTTGTTTTACCTCATGAATCTTGTTAGATCTGTGTATATTCACGTGTATAATTAAGACAATTGGTACATGAAAACCAAGATAGATAACCCTTCAGAAAGAGTAGCAGGAGTAATGGTTCCCTGAGGGAAAGGGAAGTGAGGTGGGATGAGGTAGGAAAGGGGGAGCAGCTAATAGAACTGATGACTGTATAACCCCATTTGAGGAGAGCAGACAACAGACTTATATGTAAATGGGTATACTGGATGGTATAAGGTTTTAAAAGAAATGAAAACAAGGGTTCCTGCAGGGGAGGGGGAGATAGGGGATAAAGGAGAACTGATATCACGGAGCCCAAGAAGAAAGAATGCTTTGAAACATTTGCAAATGTTTTTTTTTAATTGTACAATACTGCTGGATATGGTAGCAATCGTACAATGCTGCTTGATGTGATTGAACTATGGAGTGTTATTTATATATGTAAGCACTCCCTATAAAATGATTTTTAAAAAAGAAAGAAGAGCTAGGGGTGGAGTGTATCCTCTTTTGGAACCCCTTCAATTGAGCAGTCAGAGAAGTGTGACACTGGGAATGGTAAGGATGGTGAGCAGGGGCAGCAGCAGAATCAGGAGACAGGGAAGGTGACATTGTGGACTTCCCAGCCTCAGAGCAAGAAAGCCGAGCACCTGCAGGCAGGCTGCTTGCCGAGAGTGAGGTTCGAGAGTGAGGTTCCTCGTAGGTGTGGAGCCTTTAGAGGTAGTGCTTTGCACCTTTGTGTCAAGTCTTACTGGCTGAGTGGGTGCCTCTGGGCACTTAAATCGGGTGAGCTGCAAGAATCCGACTCACTCTACTAACACTGCTCTTGCTGAGTTCCATGATTTTCCTGGTTACTCTTCTCTTTCTCAAATTCTCTACTCCTTTGAGAGCACCACTATGTTCCTGCCCTTCTCTGAAATCTCTAACCACTAGTACTTTCTCTTACTCATCCCTACACTCATGCCCTTGCAAGATGGGGTGCCCCAATGCTCCAGCCTGGGCCCACTGACCCAGGCTACCCATTTTCTCTGGGAAATTTTCACCACCTTTAGGCTAAGGTCACTAATATTCACCATTAGCATTAAGACTTCCCCTGAGTTTCAGAGACATTTGTCCAAATGCCCATGATCATCTTTAAAGTCCCACAGACATTTCCACCACAGCACACTCAATAAGAATTCACCCTTTTCCAGGCACAGCAGGTCCGCCCTCACTCCAGTACTCTGGATTGCTTTTCATGGTGACCACTAAGACTTGCTCAATTTATCTTGCAGCAGTGGCTCTAGCCTCCTTTCTACCAACAATGTGGAGGCCTCCCACTGACTGCCTGAATTGCCACAGTATTCTAGCCAACCCAAGCCTGTCCCCTCCACACATAGCAGTCATCTACAGAAAGAGGGAATCTAATCATTTCAAAGCTGCTTTCTCCCTTGGATGGTTTTAGTGCATGAAATCCACCGTTCACATACCCTCATACAAGAGGCTCAAGACAACACACTGTGTCTTGCCTTTGTGCCTCTCTCCATTAGTGTTGCCCCTCCTTCCCCATCCAATGTGGGCAGGATGCCCTCTATACACCTCCCACTAGCAGTCTGCATGTTTCTCCCTCCAGAGATCTCAAGCCAACACACATGAAACGGTTCATAAACTTTGTTGCATCAAACATCTGACTCATCTTCTCCAGAATATCTTCTTCTCATTACTTACTCAAGTAATTAAATTTAAGGTCTTAATTTTCTAAACTTACTTGAAAAATTCAGTTTTTTCTTCTTCACTCTTCAATGTTAAACTTTTCAAAAAATTCACAATTTCTAGAAAATCATTTCTAAATGGTAAAAAAATGCATGATCAATTAGAAAAGGCATGTGAAATATTTAAATTTTAATTTACATAATTCTCAACAAAAGCTATAATTTAAAATTTTCTAAGTAACTAAATAGCTTATGAGACAAATGTTACAAAACAAAGCAACATTGTAGGTCACAGTAAACTGCTGTGACCTACAACTACAATGTGGTTTTGTTTTATAGGTTTCCATGGCTGTCTATTGTTATGGGAGAAGACTGCTTCATCTTTTCCCCTCAGTTAGTAGCCAAAAACTATCCTCTGCTCCAGGACTCCTTGGTAAAGCCCACCAGGAATCTAATATGAGGGGGCATCAAAAAGTTCGTGGACATAGGGATTTGAAAGGTAACAGAAAATTTCCATGAACTTTTGGAAGTTCTCTCTTATCAAAATGGAATCTGTGATGACATTGAGAGTTTAAAAGCATATGTATTCTATAACAGCGGTTCTCAACCTATGGGTCGCAACCCCTTTGGGGGTTGAACGACCCTTTCACAGGAGTCACCCGATTTATAACAGTAGTAAAATTGTAGTCATGAAGTAGCAACAAGAATAATTTTATGGTTGGGGGGTCACCACAACATGAGAAACTGTGTTAAAGGGTCGCGGCATTAGAAAGGTTGAGGACCACTGCTATATAACATGCTTCATGGTCCAATAGCCCATTTACAAGCACATTTTTGGTTGTAATTGATGGGGGTCACAAAGCCTATAGCCTGGGAAAAATGCCATGATTACCATTACAAACAGCTCACTCCTCACCTCTTTGCAGTAAAATGTTCAAAGGAGATATGGAATGAGGAATTTCTTCTACAAGTCCCAGGAATGTCTGCATTTTTTCCTGCTGTCAGTTATTTCTTCAAGGAGGCAGGGTTATGTGAGACTCAACCTGGCACTCTCAGCTCACACAGATGTGGACCGTTGCCTGGGGCTGGGGCTGCATATACCAGCCTCGCCTGGCAACATCCCCAGAAGCACAGCTGACCCTCGGGGTCTCTGTCTGTCTACACCCATTTCCCTCTGGCCCAGCAGCACAGGAACGGTTCATTTACACAAGCACAGACCTAACTCGGCTCATTTCCCCCAACAAGAACAAGTTCAACAATACAAACTCATAACTGTAATACTCAAGAGTTAATGTTCTGAAATGTAAACCCACCACCCAATTTACAGTAAAAGAATTCAATAAAAAAGATGGAAACGGGAAAAATAAAAGTAAACAAAAAAACTTACTGTCACCGTCTCAATACTAACTCATAGAAATGCTACAGGACAGGGTAAGCCCCTGTGAGTTTACGGATCCCAGCCCAGCTTGTAACCCTGAGGCCACCAAGGGTTCCCATGAAGGGAAAAGTGCTGTTTATTGATTTTCTCAATTAATATACTGCTATAGATCCCTGGATCCAGCCTTGTTTCCTCATAATAAGAAGCCCTAATGAATCTGGCTATAATTCCTACACCTGATCTCCATGAAAATCAAGGATTTCTACATTTCCTACCTGTGACAGGGCTCTGAGAAGTATCCTAATTCCTCCCTCTATTCTTTCCTGGAGACCTGATTCAATCTCTCCTAATCATCAATAGCAAGACCCGACGGGACACAGTGTGTAAGAGAGCCAGCAGCAGGGGCAGCAGCTGGCGTGGCACACAGATCCCTCACCTGAAGAAGTCATGGGAGAGTAGGGTACAGAGCGCTGGCCGATCATTTGCAATGGGGTTTAGCAAAGTTGAGTGCAAGGTCTGATGAAAGCTGGAGAGAAGATCCGCTGTAACTGAAATCCAGAGCAACAGTTAGTTTCCAATGTCTCCTCCCTCTG